TCTGTTTGAAATTTGGCGCCGCCTATAATTACTTTTTTGTATTTGATACAACGCTTTCATGCAGCAAATATACTCCATGGTTAAAGTACAGAATAAAAGTTATTTTCAATACAGAGTGCATATCAGTAAAACGCCTCAGACTTTTTAAATCTAATAATGAAAACAGTACTAATTTCGAATCAATTCTGATTTATCTTCCGTATAGTTATAATATGCAAGAATATTGTGGTATTAGAAAGCGTAAGCAATTTTTAAACGGCAAGCGCGCATGAGATCATATATATATATATATATATATATATATATATATATATATATATATATATATATATATATATATATATATATATATATAAGCAAGCTCGTGACAAATAAACTATTGCAGCTCTTTATTGGCCATCAACTGATTATTAATACATTTTCACTCTGAGAAATCGATGATTTTAGTGTTACAGTAAACAAGTTCTTTAGGTTCGGTGTTGGAATGAGTGATACTACAGCTAGAACTTTATCCCTATTTATTTTATCTCAGAAAAAAAGTTGTACAGATGATATAAAGTCCGTTCTGCGCATATATACCGCGCATAACAATGTTTTTTAAGTTGTTATATAATCTTTACTTGACGTTATGTGTCGTTTTAATTTTCTTATTTTCCTCTCGTTCCCGCTCGACCGGCTGTGATGATATGCCTATTTTATATCATATTTTGAAAAAGATATAAAGCGAAGCTTGTAAATAAACCGTTATTTAAAACTTTATATATTTGTAATTGTAGGACAAGCGAGAAAGTAATGTCTGTAGCGACAAAATGAAATAGCCTCGCCATCTCGTGTCCTCATTCAACAAATAAATTCTTGAAGCAATCCTTTCAGCACAACATTGCTTTTTTCTAGCAGGCTTATCTTCGTCACTCGCAATTCGAACCTCTTCGCCTGGCGACATGAAATAAAATAATTGTGCTCCCGAACTGTCCGTTTGTAATACAACGCGCTAATATCGTATATCATTAACATTCCAAAAGTTGCTCCCCGACTAATGGAATGTGTTGCTGCGCCGAATATATGCGCAGAACGGACTTTACATCATCTTTAATCAAAAACGTTCAGTCAACGATCGCCGTCCTAGAATCTGCGAATCAGACTTCGGACGTTGCGGGTTTCTGCCGCAGAATGCTTTTAATAACTTTTATTCCCTCGGTGCGTAAGATCGCGTTTTTCCAGTAAAATATCCAGCAGTTAAATGTACTGTTCATTGAGGCGATGGTTATAACCCACATTGCAAAAACGCATATAGCATCCAAAGACCCACTCCCATTCAACTTCATTCTTAGTCCAACTTCAATGTAGATAAACGCTGGAACGGACAGCGCCACAAAGCAAGCGACAGCCAGCAAGCAACTCGATATATTCTTTGAAGAAGACGCCCTTCTGGTATCCTGGGATGAATCTCCAATTCTGCGATTCTTCTTCGCGATTGTAAACAGCTTGTAGTTCACAAACAACATCGGAGGAGTGAAGAAAATTAAAAAATTGAGTAAAATAACATGGCGAGAAATGACAAAGTTTAGCTGCATCGCCAGTAAAACTAATGTAAAGAAAATTAGTATTGCAAGAAGAGCTAAAAGTTTTCCCTTTGTTACAGATGTTCGATGATAGATGGGATGATACGTCGCTAAATATCGATCAAAACTCATGACAAGAAGTGCGAGCAAGGAAAAACCAATGAAAGCATTTGATATCACGATTGCATTATCTACCCAGGTGATACTGTTAGGATTCTCATTTCCAATTAACCAAAACATCGCGATAAAAGCCATCAAAGAATGATTAATTGAGATCGTAAGCAAATCGCAACAGGACAAAACCATGATCATGAAATAACACAATTTCTTTCGAAGTTGCGCTGATCTCCAAAAACTGATTATCACCAAGGAATTTAAACATATTCCCAAAAGAATGAAACATATATTCACGATAACCAAAAATATCAAGTTGAGAAAATATCTGAAATCCATCTTGTGCTTATATATTAAGTGCAAGTTTATAGCTGACTGGCCGGCAACTTGTATTGTGGCTTAATTCAAGACGAAGCCGATGGAATTACTGCTTCGTACCCAGGATGCGAAAGTGAAAGACCTGAAAACAGAAAGTTATAAGAACAATAAATATTAAGCTTTACACATGTTCACTTTATAAGGGGTGTAATTTGGTATTTTATTTTTATTTAAATATTTTAACGTTGAAGAATCATAATATTGGCCTGTATAGCTACATCGTTGCGAAATCGCGATACCCCTTTCCATTCGGTAGAGAAAGAAATGCGGTGCATCTAGCTATCTAGTGACTCTGACTGGAACTACGCCATATAATTTGACAAATATTTTAACCCTTTGGTTCGCAAGAAATATTTCACTTCTGTCACAATACGGACCAAATTTCAACAGCTTACCCCGTTTACGTATTATTTGGGTTTTAACTGCTTCTGGCCAGTCCCTTTGTCTCAAAAGTTTCGTTCCTTTCTTGTGGGAATGATTTGATATTTTGTATTTTAAATTGTGCGATGAAAATATATAACTTTAGCTTATTTATTTTCAGTCTTGTAATACGTCATGAGATGTCTTAAATTGCATGCATGTCAAGAAATTTCAAAATTTAAGGCCGAATATTTACAAAAAATTTTCATTTGTTTCATTTCGCAGGTGTTATACCAAATTCAATGTAAAGTTGTTAAAAGACACCGTCATGCTGCCTCTTTGTTATTTGTCCATGAAAAGTAGCTAATATTTTTTGCATCTTTTTTCAGTGATTCATGAAAAACGTGGACGACCAGGGCTTTGGAAAATTATATTTTCTCTGTGTTGTTCTTCTTTTTATAATGTTATGAAAAAGTAAATTCACGATAAGAATTCTAAAATCGTGAACAGAAGATTATGTAAACTCACCTGAGTAACAAGGCTGATAGATTATGCCAATTTAGCTAAAAAATAAGCCAAATATTGTTCTCATATTTGTTTGCTTTGTTTAATTAAAAAAGCCGCAGTTTATTAATACAATTTTGCATGGGCTACAGATAGAGAATAGAATAAAAGGTATTTCGAATAAAGTGTGCATGTATCAGTAAAACGGATCAAACGTCTATTTAAGAACTTTCGTTCAATTTACATTGGACTTAGGATGAACTCTAAAGCAAAAAAAATATTTCTTTAGATGGTCCATATCTTGTTGGGATGTGGGTTTAAACAATTGCAACAATTGCTTGATCTTTTACTGGAAAAACAGGATTCTACGCACAGAGGGAATGAAATTTATGAATAATATGAAAAACCTTTACCAGATTACAACTCTAAACGTACAGTTATAAGTTATTCTAGATCATCAGCGGCTGACAGTCGATAACAGAATTCTGGGCCGCCGTCGCATGTCTCTTGGATGCATCTTGTGCACTGACTTTGGACAAGCAAGATTTTAGATGGGAACAATTTTCATGCCAATTTTGACCCACAGTGTAATAAATGCATACAAAGGGAAAATATTTTAACTATAGGAAACTCAATGCAGCGAAGAGTCATGTTTATCGAATCCGCATGCATGGGAACATGAGGACAGGTGCATTCAATAAAAATTATATTGCAAAATATAAAACTCGATAGTCGTAATTAACAGCATAATAAAGTTTCCATGTCAAGGAAATTTTTTAGATCAGTATATATAGTTGGAAAAGTTATCATAGGAAATTGTGCCACTAATTGATAATTTTGGAAATTCAGTGTGGATTCGCACACTGTACACATGTATACATGCAGCGGATGCAACATTGATTATTCATAATTCTTGGGGTTTTGTGGAAAACTAATCGAAGAAATCAGCATTTTAACTACATTTTTAACTAGAAAACTACCCAGAAAGAGGCTTCATTGTCTCTCATTATTTTCTACTACAGTTTTCTATTTTAGTGATCTTTACAACGCGTATGTGCGACAAATTTGACCTAAATTTCCTTCCCTGATGCACGTTTTAAGTTCTCGACGGACTAGCTTTAAACTAACTTATAAAAAATGATAGATCAAAATTCGTTGATTTGGGCAACACACTGGCGAAGCAACTAAAAATGTGTTGAGTGTGGTAGATAATCATCACAAATGGACAAAACTTCAAAGACAAAAAACATACGCATTCACTTTCTCATTAGTCATCGTATTTGTATCTAAACTGGACTTGTGTGTTACTTTATACCACAATCATTTCTTTTATTAATTATATCATTGTGTAACGGCTTCTTGAAAAGTGGCATTGCTGAAGTGCTAACATTTTCTATAATCATTATAATTATAACCGTAATAATTTTGTCTCACGCGGTACATCGCGGTCTAGTTTTCTACATCACATTCGCTTTCTCAATAAATCACCTTGGAACAATAAGGTGATATTCCCTCATATTCAGGATTAGCCATTAGGTATAGCTTTAACCCACTAATATGTATGCCATTGCTTTGGCGTTTTTGCGTCCGTTGTCAGATTAAAAGTCTCAGCAGTGTCTCCATTGTGAACGGCCAACATAAGTTTGTGGGTAGGCACCGTCGGCGATCATATCGACAAGGACGATGCTGGATACGAGAAAGAGAAGGCTTTAAGTTCACCTTATTTCATTACACCATATTTCATTTCCACGTGACTGAATCTCATCGAATGAAATTTCCCGCTATGTTGATCATTTATATTGTCGGTCGTCTAAACCGCCGTTTATTCCATAGTCATTGCCCCTGCAGTAACCAGAATTGTTTTTGAAAGTACTCTAAGGGGGGGGGGCTGGGGCTGTTTGAGTCTCAAGTGACAGAACCAGACAACGTAGTGAACTTTCCACCCTTCGACCCATTGCCCTCGACCCACACAAATGAACGCGCGAGTGGGGCACGCGTGTCTGGAGGTAAAGTCCCGCGAATTTTGGCTTTACAATGGGAAATTACAACTTCGGTAGTGGAAGCATCACATGGTCTTTTTGGAGTTTGGAGCTGAAGTCAGTGATTGCAACATTTCGAGTGCAACTGGTATTTTTGCTGTAATATGGCATTCAATGCAGCGAAGTTGGCAAGATGTGGTCTGTTTTCAGGTGTTACGAGATCATTTCTTCCTCGAGTTCATGGAAAATGTTTAAACACAGGTAAACTTTTTAGGTACTTTTATTGTGTTAACTATGAAACTGATGCAATCATTTTGGCCTATTGGACGTAGTACGTTCATTACACCACGTAAATTATTCCTGAGAGCTTACTTTGTATTAACAAAGTCGCCGTTCACTGCCGACATCTCTGATATGAGGATTCTGCAAACAGTATACTATTTGGACTTGTTTTATCTAGGGAGTGTTGAGGGTTAAGGGGGGGGGGGAGTGACATAGTCATGAGGTGCTAAAATAGTTGGTGCCAGGCAAGAGATTTTAGATTTGATTGCACTAGATCCTTGGAGTGGCCATTTTAGAGATGGGTACATGTGTTACTGCAGGTTGTACTTAGGTTGTAACCTATGTAAAATTTCAATACCCAAATGTGGTAACAGTATTATCTTATAGGATAATATTGTTGGTCCTAGCATTCAATGAATTACCATTGCCAATTGTCATTAAAGACCTATCATGCCTATGTCTAAAGTCTTTCTGTAATATGAGTGGGAAATGAAGGCACAGCTGCAAACAGCTTAGAAGTTGAGCAAAAAATCAACCTTGCAACCAAAGTTAAAAATGCAATTTCTACTAACCACTATTATACACCTCTCTTCCAGGTGATCCTTACAATTTCCTAAAGGTTGAGAAGACCGGCAAAGACAATAATGTTGCTTTAATCTATTTAAACCGCCCAGATGCTCTTAATGCATTAAATAATGGGATAATTGGTGAACTAACTTTGGCATTAGATGATGCCCAGAATGATACAGATGTTGGTGCTATTGTTATAACTGGAAGTGGACGAGCATTTGCAGGTATACTGGCATATCATAAGAGAAAATTGTCTTAGGCACAAACATGAATTCAATACATACATTGATTCAAGGAAAATAAAAATCTCAGATTTGTTTATTTTTCTTTGAGATGCATTCTCAGTAATGTTTAGATGGTGTAATAGCAGGGTGATCCTAACTCATTGACTACTATATTTTGATTCTCAAGATGTCTTGTTTATTCGGAATTTGCTTTTTACTCACTGACTACTCTTTGTGTTAAATCAGAATGAAAAAAAAAGGCTCACTAAATAAGGTGTAATATGATTCCTGCTTGGCTCAATCCTTGTTTCTTAGAAATCCTACAAGGGTATAGATGAATGTCGTGATCCAGATATTTGATATTGAAATTCATTACATTCTAGCTGGTGCCGATATCAAAGAAATGGAAAACAAAACCTTTCAGGAGTGTATAAAGACAGGATTTCTAGGTCAATGGGACAGTATAGCAAAATGCACAAAACCAACTATTGCAGCTGTTAACGGTTTTGCAGTAAGTTGACTGACTTAGCTCTTCTTAAACTTGTCTGGTTTTAAATGAAGCAAAATACTTTAATGCAGTCATTGCATGGTTTATAGCTTGGTGGTGGATGTGAATTAGCCATGATGTGTGATATCATTTACGCAAGCGACAAGGCAAAGTTTGGACAACCGGAGATAAAACTAGGAACCATTCCAGGTAAGTGGTGCATTAATTCCGAAAAAAAATATAACACCGCATAGCAGATAGCATTTTCAAATAATTTCTCATCTAATGTGGTAAATTATGAAGATGGTGTACTGTTCAAGTTAAAGAAAATCTATGCATTTACATTTTCAACTACAATATTTGCTAAAATGTATTTCACTGACTACTTTCTGGATATTTGCTACCGTGTTGGATTACTATATATCCTATGCTGGGGGAGTTTAACTAATTTACTTTTATTATATATTAGAATTATATAATTGTATTAGTATTACCAAAAATGACGTCACCTCCGTTTTGCATATAAAATGTCCCCCTGGGGGCAGTTCACTTCTGGGGATACAGTAAACGTAAAGTAAAGTAATTATAACGACCAACAGGCAATTTTAGAGCGATTGAAAAAAATAGTCAACCTTGTACCCGAATACTCCAAATAAAAATTTGGAGTCACGTGGGCAGCCCAGACTAGTCCCTAGTCCTCCTGAGCATGCCTTGCATTCTTATGACGTCACCGGTTTGAACGCGCGAGAGAGCATAATTAACAGCATAACAGCATAATATTATTAGCATAGTTAACAGCGCGCGCTTACAAGGCCTGGGCCTAGACTGTGGGCAGCCCCCTACGAGAAGGCCCCCTTGGGTACGAGGTTGCTGCGCGCTTAGTGGCCAACTTTGTCATATACTTATTGTCATATTGGTTAGGTGCTGGTGGTACGCAAAGATTAACAAGAGTTGTGGGAAAATCATTAGCGATGGAGATGGTGTTAACTGGAGATCATATCTCGGCACAGGAAGCCTTGCAAGCAGGCCTGGCTAGTAAAGTTTATCCCGCAGAGGAATTGTTAGAAAAGGCTGTAAAAACTGCCGAAAACATCGCGGAGAAATCGAAACTTGTTGTTAACATGGCTAAAGAAGCTGTTAATACCGGTACGTTATAGTATAATTACAGTCGTGATTATTGAATGAGAATTGTGGTCAATCATTGGTCGGGCGACCCATAACTTGGTCGCCATCTTTACCTTGTAACGATTGTTATCTCTAGCTTACGAGACAACATTAGCCGAAGGAATTCACTTCGAAAAGAAGATATTTTACGCCACGTTCGCTACGGTGAGTTTTTTGAACAAATATGCAGTATAAAGCAAGCTTCCTTTTTAAATTGTCTGCTAGATTATTGGATATACTTGAAGGCATTACTTGTTGTGATATATTGAATTGTACTGTAACCATGTCGTAATTATTGCTTTTTGGAATTTGCCAATTCAGAGCCCCCATTCATGATTAATCTTTCATGAATTGCCGACATGAACGTGGGGGTTATAGGAATGTATACTTAGAGCCCTAGATGATTTGAAATTCGGGGACTGCGGGGATTGGTTCGAGGGTGGGGTGGGGGCAATGACAGATCGTCTCCGGTGGAAGGCAATAAGAAATCCTTGGGAACCCGAATCAGTTGAAGCGTCGGATATTGAATCAAACTCGTCAGTAACCGATGAAAGATATTCTTATAAATGAGTACAAAACACAGGCTACTGAGGGAGGGGGGGGGAGGACCTGTTGACAGTTTTTTATTTAGCAGTTTAATGTAACCTCGCCTTGGCTAGAAGCCTAGAATAGGTTGTCAATGATGATATTAAAAAAGAATTGTTTATCTTCAGGATGACCGCAAGGAGGGTATGACCGCGTTTGTGGCTAAACGGCCCGCTGAATTTAAAGATAATTAGAACGCTAGTATATAAAACTTATATAATATATATCAGGTCAACATGTGCCATGTAGCCATTATGTAAAAGTTTCTTCAACTTAAAGATATAATTCTTTATTTTCGTACTCGTGTTGTGGCTTCTTCTGAAGCAAACCTGAGTTATGAGCTGAAATACTTAACTTCACCCCAAACATTTGGTCATATACCCAAATGGAGTTAATTGAAATTCTATTCTCTGTGAAAATTTAAAGAGTTCAGCAAAAGATTTCAGGTAAGTATTTTTTTTAAATATGCAAAAATAACTGTCATTCGGCGAAATAAACAGCAAATAATGTCCATTTAATAAATTAGCAGTATAACTCTAGGATATGAATGTCTCTTGTTCCCGTTACCAAGTACCAACGTGGCAACGTACTCTGTGAAGTGTAGTGGTAAATGACCATATTATACAGTTCAGTCGGCAACTAGCCTGCGAATAACAGAATCTATTTATACGCCTATTCCACGGTGGGATAATATCGCGTTTCCCCCACCCCAGGCTAGTGCCTAGTGGACAACTGGCATATAATCACGCATATGCCATGTAATTTCCTCGCCCACTGATCTATAAGTAGATACTGTAATGCGTATACTTATTTTTCGCGGGAAATTCTCTCCATTAACGGCTACCGCCAGAATATAAACATTCCAATGTGTCCGTTTCACATATTGTAACATTTAATATTTTGTATGTTTTCACAAAATGTGTTCGGAGAATCAGAGAATCAAACTGTCTTCAAGCAGTATGATAAATGCAAGCAAAGTGACTAACATTCACCTTTTGCCTTGTGAAATACAACATAATGGCGAGGCAAATGTAGATAAATATTTTCAATGCACTGTCAAAGATCAAGATGCAGATCAATCGCCCGATCAAAGACGCAAGGAAGGTTTGTTTCACTTATGTCATAATTTTAATATACAGCTCTGACCCAAATACAAACCAGCGGTGTTAATTTCCATTTTATTAGTATCTGCATATCCCCTTTATATAAGCAAAAATACTGTTTACAACTACATATTCCGTGCATAATATTCAAGTTCACTTATTCAAGAGAGGTTTAAGAGTGATTTAATTTAGACTTATCCATCGTTTAAGCTAAACGGGTCTGATACAACCGGCCCTAGGATGGTACATATGAAATTCCCCTTAATTAAAACATCAAAACAAAAAAAGATTTCCTAAATTCTGAGACATATGTTGAGGAATATTGACAATAAATTATCCTTCCCTCCTTGGATAAAACCCCCTGTAAGAAATTAGGATGACAGAACAATTCATTAGTCAGACAAGTGTGGTCAGACACTCCGTTGCATATGTTAGGCATAATGGTTTTCACAATGTTCAAGCCTGTAACAATATACAGTTTGGCTAATTATATACATAATAGTTCAACAAAGAGTGGTGAAACACAATGAGAGATCTACACATATGTAGCTGTGCCTAGTTCTTTGATACCATTCTCTGAATCTTATTGCTTCTTAGCTACTTTCCGTGGTCGGATACTTCGGGGTGAATCTCTTAATGTGGCAGAAGGATATTGTGGTAAGGTGTTTCTGCTTAACTTTGAAAGTGCTCTTTAATTCACATAGAGCTGTAAAGGGGTCTTGCCCTAGCTGGTGAGAGGGCTTTCTCAAAATAGTTAATCTGGCCCTGAGGATGATGTACTTACTATATAAAATTGGAGGTGTGCAAAATCTTTTGGAAAATGCAAAAAAGGTTGTCTATGTTTAGTTGTCTTAAACATTCATATTATTTGCATGCAGGTGTACAGAATACAGTAACCTATCAATTTCATTATATTAAGATGTTATGAGCCCCACACTTGTATATAGTATTTAGCAAGGGCAAAGGAGTTTCTCAAATGTGGGGTTTCTTGAATGCACAAGCTTCAGATGTTTAGTGGCACGTATTAGTGCAGTGAAAAGCATAAATTTAAAATTGAGCCTACTTTCATTAAGGTTATATTTTGACAGAGGACCGAAAACCAATAACTGAAGAAGAGGTATTACACAGTGAATTTAACCCTCTTTTAACTGTTAACTTTTGTAATTGAACCAGTTTTATCTGTTTTTAGGATCGTAATTTTAAAGTGTCCAATAAGTTCTCGAAGTTCACCTATTGGAATCTTGAGGATACACCTTGTCTTAATGACAAGATACGGAAAGCGATGCAATGGCTGGATATTTCATCTGCGGTAGGATATTTTCATTTTGTAGAAAAAATGGCATATTGTGAAACACTGTTAGGTTACTTATATCATGGGATGCTAGAGTGCCTCAGAAAGAAATCAAGTGGCTGAAAAACAACAATTTTGAACAGGAATATGAGCATCTCTTACAGTCCTGACCAGAGTTCTGTCCCAACATCTGCCAAGCATTTATAAAGATTTATAATTTAAAATTTGGTAGTGTATTATGTACAGTAGAAATAATATAGTTGTAAAAACCTGGCTTTTTTGGCCAGTTGATTGAAATTTTCACTCAATATAATAATGCAGTGTGGCCACTGATCTGATAATACACTGGATATAGCATTAATATATCTATTAAGAAACAAATTAAAAAATTAACTGTCAAAGACCCTAAAAAAGAATCCTCTTATGTGTTTGGCTGAGTTGCCATAGGCCTTAACATTGATTTGCCTGATTGAATTTGAACCTGTTACGAACTTAATCCCAAATGGGTCTAACCATTAAAATAGATGATAGATCAGAGAAACACTTCCTAGAGTCCGCGTGACGTGTCAATTCTTTATTATTTGCACCCTGGAGTTTATTAATTATGGTATAGTTGCCATATACAGTGTATTATGAGATCAGCAAGTTTACAGTGTATTTACTGTATTATGAGATCAGCGAGTAAGACCGAAATACGGCATGTTGCATCACACGTGTATTACCCAGAGTATATTTGTGTACTTCTGTTTAGATTCATCGACGAGTGGATGTTGATACAGACTCTGAAAATAACACGCCCGATACAATAAGATGAAGGTTCAGTATGATTCATAAACAGATGATTATTCATGCTTGGATGATAATGAATCAAAGACTCTATCCTTCTAGCCTTTATATGTGAAGACAATTCTCTTTGCTTCACAAAGGAATGCAAAATACTTGGATTAAGGGCATACAACTTGTATGTATTATTGATACAAGTCGAAGTATACAACACTCTTCTTGTGTGTTGCAATTTTATTGATTATTATCAAGCGGAACAAGCGCCATTTAAATTTGTTGTGTGTAATTATAACTCCGTAAGTTTTCTAATCGTAAGGTTCGTGTCGTCAGACTTAGGGGCGAATTTTTTGCCCAAGTATCTGACGTAACACTTTGTTAGACCATATGTCATGTCTGCAGGAATCCTGGAAAGAAATCTCTGACATGATTGTATTAGCATAATAAAACAAAGTCGAACAAGGTCCTGACTTTAGTGTTCGCAGACAGCGGAGTATGAGCAGACAGCAAGTCTGACATGAACGTTAGAATGTAGCGAAAGGTCGTGGTGCGCTGCTAGGTTGAATCTTTTATTAGGGATGGGTGGATATCGATAGTCGATACCATATCATCATTACGCTTTTAAGAAGGTGATACTGCCCTTCATTTTCAACATAAAAAATCTTTAAATTCGAACAGGGTCAGGGAAAAGCCGAATGGCCAAACAATTCCCTTGGAGCTAAACAAAAGAAAACGCCCAAATCAATTTGGCGGCAAACTTTACAATCCTGGTTTTAAACAATCCCACGCATGCGCAGATTTCACCTATGTTTAGTGTAACTACACTTAATTTATATAGTCAGGACTTTGCTAAAATTGGTATATCTACCCAGTGCTTAGATTAGCACTTATGAAATTGGTACAGGTACGAATAAACAATTACCTAATGATTTTCGTGTTTGGATGGCCTGGTCCAAACACGCAGGAATGTTGCGATTAGATTATACGACTAAAAGAAATTAAGGCTATAGTATAAAGATATTACACTACACTTGGTAAATATTGAAAACAGACTGGCATCACCACGTTAAGCATATGGCTATGACATAACTCTGTGTATGTCGTTATATCGGCGCCTTAGCTTTTGCTTCTTAAAGATTATACAACAACAAATAAATGCAACTCTTATTATTCTCGAGGACTTGCGAGATGAAATGGAACTTTTTAGGGAGTTTCTTTGGTAAAAAAATTCTCTTAGCAACAAAATCGATTGCTATTTAGACCGCGGCTTCGGCTTGTTTTCATAAACGTGTGATAACTTCTCAGAAGAGAGCAGTTGGATATTTTCCACGAACGATCGAGGATAATTTTTCCACAATGAACAAAGCTGTAATTCTGTGTTTCCTTGTTCTGGCTGTTACTGCCATCTCGTGTTGTAAGTATGAACATTTCTTTATTTATTTCAGTGTTGTTACAGCATCATATAAATATGGCTAATCCAATAAAGTTTTTAAACTTTTTTAACCTTTAAAAAGGTTGTCATTTTGAAAATGCATGCATGCATGTAAACCTTGAACTCTTACGATTTCGAACGTGAAATTTTGTGAAGACACTCACTATTAAGTCATTGCTTTCGTTGATTTGTCCTTGATCGGCCATAATAGCACTAAAAACAAATAAGTAACCTTGGTTGCATTATTTTAGCTTCAGAACTGTCGGAGGAACGCGGCTATCGAAAAGAGAGAGCAATCCCAATGAAACCAGGATACCCTCACGGTAGGAATTTAATGTTTTATTATATCCCTAAAAAACTTGCACAATTTTTTTGACATTTTTATGGACGACATATAGTTAAACCGGTTAATATATTAAGTATTTCATGCACTTTAAGTGCCTTTGAGAAAATAATTATGAGTTTAGGAAATACAATGGCAACTGCAACGTCCTTAACAATGTCAATGGCATTGATCCCGGGTAGGATCGCAGCTCCTCCCAAGAATGATTTTCATTGGCTGAACTTTACAATACATTTCTGTATAATAATATTTATATTTCAGAGCAAGCGAGTGAAGGCATCAAAAAGGTTTGCTTCCAAGGTAACTTTGATATAAACTTTGTAATTTAAATATTATAAGTGTATTAAATGTGTACTCGATACAGAATAAGGTAGGCCACCGATGATACAGTGCAAGAAATGGAAAAGATATCACAACGCATTCAATATTCAAGAATTAAATTAGTTTTAACGGCCTCTGCATGCATGATAATTTTAACGCGATTATTTTTTAAGTTGTTGTTAATCCTACTGGTAGATTGTCACTGTAGATGGTAGCTATAGACTGCCCACGCTGCTGGTGACAAGCGAAAATAACAACACCGCAGAAATTGGTGTTTTCCTGATGTTGCATGGCTGTGGCGTGTGCACTAATTTGCATTTAATCTATACATGCACATACTATATTATCGAGCTTTACTCTAACGTGCATACATTTAGTGACAAATTAATGTAAAACGTAAAAACGTCAGAACCACAGACTTCGAGCACTGTTTGTTGACCCGGTTTTGGTATGATTAAGATTTGCGTTTTATAGAAGGTTTATAGAAAAAAAATTTTAAGAGAACATTCAGTTTTTAGAGAATAGCAAACTTGGCTTTACCTATAGTTGTTAAGCGTTCGTCGTACATGTACTAGAATTGTCTGAATAAAGAGATATTCCAAAAGCCCGAGTCTAGCGTGAATTAGCCGAACTATAAACTGACGTTTGAATTTTTTATGTCTTACAAGAGTGCCGAAAAGTTCAAAGGGCAGGACTGACCGTGACATGCGGTCAGGATGAAATTGCTGTGGGATGTGAAACAGCTGGTTTTGGTCAGTGTGAAGCTAGTCGGACCTTCAACGCCAAGGGCTGTCTAATAATGAATTGCAATGATGGTGGAATGGGAAAAATCACGGCATTGTGTTGCATGCAAGCTGGAAAACGACACAACGCGTGGGGGGTCGCTGTGTAGTCTGAGCGATATATGTTTTAAAATCTCTCAAAATCAACATTTTTTAAACATCGGCATTTCGCTATAGAAAATATACACCATATTATACAGTGGCATTTGTTTTAGTGTTTCTATTAATTCCTACACTCATTTTCGTAATAGCCTTTCTGTCGTGAATTTGACCACTCCGATCTACGACTTCATTCAATGAACGAGTCTTTCTCGTCAGAGTACTTTATAGTCGCATTAGTTTGAATGTTTTAAAAAATCTCCTCACGCAGCACTTATATGTTTTAGAAGGCTGGCTCTCATGAGTCACCCATAACATTTCGTAGCTCTTACGTTAATGAGCTTGAAACGTCTCGGCATTTTCAGTTTGCCCGAATTTTTGGCTGAACTTTGCGCAAATTTCTTGATTCCCGAAGTTTTCGGGATGGGATAACTTTCTTCCCCCTGCCCCCCTTTCTCGTACGCCTATGAGCAAATTCTACCCGTTTGCAACAAACAGGACCCATTCGTGACTGTACGATTTACAATGCACGGTATGCACCTATTACAATTACTCCACCTATTACAACTACACATACATAAATATACCTCCCACATACAAGCAATGCGGGCAAATTATTTGGTAAACACAAGTTGTTCTTCTTTTAGTTATTACACTGATTACTATCACGTATTATGCAAGTATTCATTAGAAAGCACTTGTAGTTGTGGTTAAGGCTATATTGTAGCTATACCTGCTTGGGTGTTTAGAAAACATTGGTAAAGCATGTTAAATTATTCACTTTCAAGTTTCAACAAATCAAGGGAATCGTTTGCCGCGTGAGCGCCGTGTCGTTGTTAAATTTGTCTCATGAAGTCATTATTCCCTGTTTGAAAAGAACCCTTTTAAAAAGGTAGGTGATAAAGTATGCTAAATACTTGTCTGTCTGAGCATAAGAATTTACTGAACAACTACGACAACTATACGTTATACAAAGTTTCGAATTTGGAATTTGGAAGGCTTTTCCCAGCTGATAGGATTTTGTACACGACTTCGATAGGGGTTTTTCCTTGATTTGTTCGATCAATATTTCTTTATGTTTCCTGATCTTGTTACCAAGACCTGTGCGTAAACGCGTCCGAATTTATAAGGGTTAACATTTCTTACTGCATTGAAAACAAGCTGGGCAACGACAACGTACATAAGGTTTGATATATGCCACGCTCTGCAATTATATATGCCGTTGTCACAATCATTTTATATTCAAGTATAGGTATACAGGGTGCATGTGTGAGAAAATGTACCCCCTGTATCCCTACATTGAAAAATGTATCCCTATATTGAAATTTTGGATCCATGTTTATACTGTACTGTTGTAAATAGCATAGTGCACGCATTTGTCCATAGTTTACATACTGGTGTACGATTGGATTGCCCAACCACAAAATATTAATTTTCATTACAAATTCTAGATGTCTTTGTTGCTATCTACTTATGGTAAGACATGTTGCGTTATAATCACACTCGCTGTTCTTCATTGCCGTGCCGAAGTATCGGCTTCAAAATCATTTGAAGCTTGTCAAACTGATTCTTCCTTCAACGTAGTCCGAAATCTCTTCAATGGGCGCAGATATAGGTCACGTGTATCGCAGAGCGAGCCAATCAGTGCGTCGTACGAATGTCACATGAAGTGCGTGGAAAACTGCAATTGTCTGTCGTACAATGTTTGCAATGGCGGCAAATTGTGCGAACTTAATCCAGAGAAAAAGGAGAACAACATCTCCCTGTATGAGACCAGCGATACTTGCGATTACTATGAATTAGGCTTTAACCAAAAGGTGGGTGAAATCTTCTAAAACTATTAATATATCATCGACTGTTAATATTCTTTTACCAATCGCAATATTCCAATCGCGGCTTGTCTTCTCTTAGCATCTCTATCATTTTTTGCTATTCGCTCAGCACGTTGACTTGCTCGTAGTTTGCCTGATAATAACAAAGCGGGCAATGTCCTCTCTATGGTGGTATTAGGGACCTTAACCATGGAGGACGCCAACGCGACGAAGACGGCTATCAATACAGTGGGTCATCGAAAAGAAATGAATAATTAAAGACCATGATGGGTTTTAGAATTCGTCTTCGTTCTGTTTACAACGGAAAAACGTCGTTTTTTACGTCTTGCCTAGAACGGTTGCATTTCAGGCCCAGCGAGCCCTACCTCGAATTAGGCTCTCTGGAATTGTCCTTAAACATAAACACAATGTTTTTAACGGCTTACATCTCACTGAATCGGAACAATTAATAATATATAATAACGTAAAGAATTCAAGCAATTTCATTGGTCGAGAGCCATGATCTATAAGAGGACAGACGCACGGAATGACATCACAGCAATTTTCTTTTTACCGGTTTAATTTTGGATTTTTTTCAGTTTTATTATATAAAACAAATAGATTACAATGAACCGTTGTCTGTTCAGTTATAGATACACGGTATGACGCCATAAGTGATAAGAACAAAAGAGTGACAACTCGCCCCGGCGGCTCGTGGCCACTTTTTTTGTTCTTATCACATATGACGTCATACCGTGTATCTATAACTGAACAGACAACGGTTCATTGTAATCTATTTGTTAAATATACAACAACCACTTTGCCATAGCATTTATTTAAAGGAGAATTTCAGCCGCGTCATCGTGTTGCCGTCCTACATGCTTAAGGTCCCTGTCTACGATTAAGAAACCTCTCAATTTTTTCATTTAAGAAACAAAATAAAAGGAGATACCATACACTCCCTTTTTCCTTATTTCAGCAATCAAGTGATTGCAAGGATCAATGTTGTTCTACTTCGAAACCTTGTCTTAACAATGGTCGTTGTGAAGCAACGTGTATGAAGAATGGGAGACGGTTTCTCTGCGATTGCGCAGAAGGCCAAGACGGTGATCAATGCGAGAGCGTGGCTAGAGATTGCGGATTTTATGCTAATTCTGCCAACAAAACTCACGGTCTTCGCGTGATCTACGCGCCTGACAACACCGCATACCGGGCTTTTTGTTATTTCGGCAACAATATCCTTACGTTGGCCATGTCATTTTCGGTGGAAAACCAACGGTTGGTGAGTGCACCGCTGAGCAACGACCAACCCGTGTTTGAAGACTCGCACAACTGGGAGGAATATCGTCTGGGGCTGGCACGCATGACAGCTTTGCGTGATGGGGCATATAAATGGAAGTATGCCTGTGCCTATGACCAGCTTGACATAAAAGATACAGATTCAGTAACAATTTTTTTGGCTAAGTTGGATCCATTGAAAGTTGATGGAATAGTGTGTTCTGCGGCTCAAAGTATCAGAATTTATGGCGAAACCTGTCCGAAATGTGTAGTAGGTATGACCATTTTGAATTTTCTTTATCGATATCTCAGTAAAATCGTAACTCAAAGTCGGAAATTTTGAAAATATATTTGCCGCACAAATTGAACACCGCGCGTACTTAATATCTGGAATAATTTAGTGGAGAGCGGCAAGCCGAGAGGATGCTGAAGGGTTTAGAAAGTGGCTAAATAACGATAAGCCATTTCCCGACACTCGCAGTCAGTTTGGCGCTAAAGAGTCATTTTGACGACTTTTTGTGCCGGCAACGGTGTTTTTAGCCCGTATCTCACTACCCCAACCCCCCCCCCCCCGATGACAACGTGTTTGACAAGGCTTACGTAATCTTAGAATATGAAGTTTTATTTTTTTCTTGCGGTCCGAATTCATATTTTAACGTTTCTTCCAATCTCATTGGCTACGCGAGCGGTCCGTACGGCCTCAAAAACTCTGCCTCGGGCTGTTTTTGAGACCTCGGGAAATATTTCGGGAAATATATATATATATATATATATATATATATATATATATATATATATCCAAATAATTGACTGTAACAGAAAGATCACAGAACTTGACAATGGTTGGAGAGCGCTCAATACCATTACTGGCAGAGCGATAATATATATTTATTGAAAGACTAGCTTAGCTACTCGGAGTTTCACGCTATAAAGCGATCATCAGGCTAATGGCAGGTCTGGTTGCTATTCTCTATATTTACATCGTGATATAAGGTGTCGAATTACGTGTCTACATTTCGTAAAGAGTTCAGAGCGTTTGTTCAGCAGTGTTCTAGTTTTGTCTTTCATGATATGGAGTTTCTCCTCAAGGCAGAGGTTGCATCTTCTTGAACCGGCTTTGTAGGCTGGGACAGTTTTCAGTAGGGACCATGAAATCGAAAAATCTTTCTTAGCTTCCTTCAGCTTCCATATGTGTTTCGACAGTTCCGTCTCCTTGGCATACTTCTTATTCGCGAAAGATTTTGCGTGATTTCGGTAGCGTGTTTTGAAAACGTCCGCAGTGACTCCGATGTACCTGGCTGGTGGATCGTTGTTGCGCGTGGACACTTCGGCTTGGTAGACTACGTTTGATGTGAGGCATTTACCTTCAGCTGGGCATTTTTCCGGTAGTCTGCAGTTGCATTGTCGTTGTTTGCTTGTGTCGTTTGTGTTTGCGTTTGTCTGTTTGTGTGTTTGTTCAGTATTTTCTTGTTGTGTTTGTTTATGAATGAGCGCATGTTGTCAAGACAGCCGTAGCTGATTCGTACGTTATGTCGATTGAAAATTTTATGGAGTTGATTGGAAGGTGGGAAGTGTTTGTCTAACAGATGTAGGAATTGTTGTCCGATGTTCGTTTTTACGTTTTTCGAATAAGGGGGGTTATACCAGATTATATGGCGATGCCGTTTACGTTTTTGCGTTGTGTTGCTGCTGTCGATGTCTACGTTGTTGGTTGGTTGCTCGTACGTAAGTGTTGCGTCGTAGTTGCTTTGTCTCAGTGCGTTGTTGTACAATTGAGACGCAGCGTCAAAAGTTGTTTTGTCGCATGATAATTTGTTGATTCGCTTGTTGATGGATGATGGAAGTTGTCGTGTGATAGCGGGTGGGTGATTGGAAAGGCGGTTGATGTATAGTGGGTCGTCGTTGGGTTTTCTGTAGGGTTTGTGTGTTCCGTTAGCCAAGTCAAGTGTGACGTCAAGAAAATTTACCCGCTTCAAGTTGGCCGTGGCGGTGATTTTCAGCCCGAAATTCGAGAAAGTTTTAGTCAACTGTTTTCTGGCTTTGTCACATAATCTGCCTGATGTAGTGCGTATAACGGCGAGGCCGTCATCGCGGTACAGTCCGACGTTCTCCAGTTGCCCTTCAAGTTTATTCAAGATGAATAGACCGACGAGTTCGCAGATTTCGGCCCCATCAAAACTTCCCATCGTGACATCAAAAGCGTTTGCGGCATTCGACTTTGTCCACGTTTGGTTGTTGTTGAATAATAGTGATTGTCTGGCGTGCTTGATTATTTTGATGTCCTGATCACTAATTTTGGAAAACTGTTTAGCCCATTCAATTGCTTTGCCACGGCCAACTTGAAGCGGGTAAATTTTCGGCCAACTTGAAGCGGGTAAATTTTCTTGACGTCACACTTGACTTGGCTAACGGAACATACAAACCCTACAGAAAACCCAACGACGACCCACTATACATCAACCGCCTTTCCAATCACCCACCCGCTATCACACGACAACTTCCATCATCCATCAACAAGCGAATCAACAAATTATCATGCGACAAAACAACTTTTGACGCTGCGTCTCAATTGTACAACAACGCACTGAGACAAAGCAACTACGACGCAACACTTACGTACGAGCAACCAACCAACAACGTAGACATCGACAGCAGCAACACAACGCAAAAACGTAAACGGCATCGCCATATAATCTGGTATAACCCCCCTTATTCGAAAAACGTAAAAACGAACATCGGACAACAATTCCTACATCTGTTAGACAAACACTTCCCACCTTCCAATCAACTCCATAAAATTTTCAATCGACATAACGTACGAATCAGCTACGGCTGTCTTGACAACATGCGCTCATTCATAAACAAACACAACAAGAAAATACTGAACAAACACACAAAACAGACAAACGCAAACACAAACGACACAAGCAAACAACGACAATGCAACTGCAGACTACCGGAAAAATGCCCAGCTGAAGGTAAATGCCTCACATCAAACGTAGTCTACCAAGCCGAAGTGTCCACGCGCAACAACGATCCACCAGCCAGGTACATCGGAGTCACTGCGGACGTTTTCAAAACACGCTACCGAAATCACGCAAAATCTTTCGCGAATAAGAAGTATGCCAAGGAGACGGAACTGTCGAAACACATATGGAAGCTGAAGGAAGCTAAGAAAGATTTTTCGATTTCATGGTCCCTACTGAAAACTGTCCCAGCCTACAAAGCCGGTTCAAGAAGATGCAACCTCTGCCTTGAGGAGAAACTCCATATCATGAAAGACAAAACTAGAACACTGCTGAACAAACGCTCTGAACTCTTTACGAAATGTAGACACGTAATTCGACACCTTATATCACGATGTAAATATAGAGAATAGCAACCAGACCTGCCATTAGCCTGATGATCGCTTTATAGCGTGAAACTCCGAGTAGCTAAGCTAGTCTTTCAATATATATTATATATATAATATTTATATAATATATATATATATTATATATATAATATATTATATATATATATATATAATATGTATTTAGAATCATATATCAGTAGGGTGCTCGGTATATCAAAGTATAGAGCTAATAAGACGATATAAAATACAATAAACTTGGTTTACTTCATATGATTTTATTCACTACAAATTTGTTCCGTATATCAAGCAGTGCTTGCCACATTCATCAGGTGAATTTAAATTCTATATATATGCATGTGAACACGTGGCAGTATAGTACTTACACCTCGTGCTTTAACCTTGATAATGCGACCTTGTTTTTCTAATCTTGCAGCAATGGCACAGGGGTTTAATGCATTAAATATGGCGTATCATTACGTAGAAAACTGTCCTTCAGCAATCCAGGTTTTACGTGAGAAATCGTGTCCCACAAAAGGAATATATTATTATTATGGCAACTACGACCCCGACTGCTTGGACGAGAATTTCTTGTGCACCAGCTCATTGAAGGCGACAACCCAACTATGGTTCGTACATTGATCAGTGTAAAATACAGTAACGTCTGAGTCAAAACCCATGCAAAGACCGGTTTCATTCACCATTTGAACAGATATCGTGGTTATTCCCCACCGGAAAGGAAATGGAACTGAGCAAGTGTATTTGGGTGGCTCGCTCGGATATTTTCAGTGCACTTTTCGTCTTTCGAGAGATGTGAAAGAGTAAATAGTTGCAGTGGAATAAGCGTATATATATATATATAATATATATATATATATATATATATATATATATATATATATATATATATATATATATATATATATATATAAATAGATTCTGTTATTCGCAGGCTAATAGTTGCATGTGAATGCGCTTTAATGTATAACAGTATAAGTGCCCTTACTTGAGCACCTTACATAAGTCTTATGCACTCTGTCACATCTATCAAAAGAAGAAAATTCATTGTTGTTTTACTATTGTAATTATTTAATCTTATTTACAAATTATTTACGCATAGACGCTTTGTCTTATTACACGAAGTTTTGAACTATTGCAATGTTCAAAGCTTGCACAGTTGCACTTGGCCATTAGTTTTCACCGCATGGATCTCTTATGTATTAACTATTGCACTACATATTCTGGATTTCTTGATGATTTTAGAGGCAGAGCTTCGTTTCAATAATTGCAATTAAATATTACTTATTAGTCAAGCTTGTATAAATTAAATGAGTTTACAGTTCGAATTTATTTCATTTTTTATTTTGGATCATAACACGTTTCGTCTTTTGACGTCGCATGCCAGTTTTACGAAACAACCTTGAAATGCAATCATATGTTCCTTTGCAAGGCCTATATCGGGCTATAATTTCGGTTCATGAAATACGACTTTTTGTCCCAGACATCCAGTCACAAGCAGCATATGAGTTGGAGAAAATTTGCAACAGCAAACGGGCATTGGATGACCGAAGAGGCTCTTGACTTCCTTCAGAGGTTTTATTATTGTATCTTTCCTCCATAAAGAGCATTCTGAATCGAATGCCAGAATTCGTACACCATGAGCAAATGGCGAGGCGATGACACGACCATCTGGACTAAAACTTTGGTCTTTTATAAACCCAGGTCCGGCTTCACTCTCCTGTATGTAATGACTAAGTCGTCTTTCCTTACCTATATTGTGTATCACAAAATTTAGTGAATGGTGGAGAACAACTTTTAAGGGAAACACGTCCATTATAGTAATTTTACATCAAATTATGTAACGTTGAAGTCGCATCTCTAATTTGGACATTTCTCCATTATTTATCACTTTAAAATAATTGATCGATCTCTCAAATAAGGACATTTCTTTTATGTCATCTCTCTGATATAGTCATCTCCATAATGTTAACCTCTCTAATGTGGAGTCACCTTAGTGATATGGCCATATGGGACATCTTTGAAACAGTTGGTAAACTCTTCAAAATGGCCATCTCTCTAATTACTGATCTCTCTAATGTAGACATTTCTGTAATATGGTTATCTCTCCAACAAAGACATCTCTCTATTCTGTAATTTAGACATCTCTCTAAATGTGATGGTCTGCTCTGTAATACTGATCTCTCTAATGTGGACATTTTTGTAATATGGTAATCTCTCCAACTAAGGATTCTCTCTAATATAGACATTTCTCTAAATGTGATGGACTGCATGCTTTCTAGTAATAGACTTCTCTCTAATATGATCTTCTAATGTGAATATATGTTTCAAAAATGGTTGACATTAGTACTGCCACATGCCATATGGAACTCCATCTAATAAAAAAGAGCCTTACAAGATGAATCATATTGTATGTCATGAACTGTGGTATAGTCATACACTGCTGTCAAATATCTAGACACCAAACAAGAGCCATCAGGATGAACCGCAAAAGAAGGAATGTATAATGGAGGAACAGTAAATTCATAATTGCCATTTATTACACTTAGATTGTTGCGGTAGTCATTTTTTGCATCTACATTATTTTCAGTTGCTTGTAGATCTTCTGAAAAATGTTCTAAGTCAAGATTATGGACCAATAGAATCTCATCGTGATGATCAATCTGACTGAAGCATGACATGATAAGCTTATCACCAGCATGACTGAGTTCCATGCGAGATATGCCACTTTCGTTGGTAAACAATTTTTGACCTATTTCATGTAATTCATTCTCTGAATAAGTGGATTTGTTAATATCCCAGGTGCGAATAGTTCCGTCGAAGGCTGAGCTGAGTAACAACCGTGTTTTGCAATCATAGGCTAAACTCTTCACCCAGTCTGTATGTCCTGCAAGCCGCATAACATTTTCACCCAACTTTCGTGCATCCCACAATGCTATAGTACAATCATCAGACCCAGTTGCAAAAATTCTTTCATCACAGAAGCATATGGAGTTGACTGCATCATTGTGGGCATCTGATATTTGATGCAGGCATTTTCTTGTGTTTGGATCATAGAGTGAAACGGTGTTTTGTTCGCAGGCTGCGGCCAGCATTTTACCACTGGGTGAAAACTCCAGGCTAAATACTCCACCACGTCCTAGAGTAATGTTATAAATGCTTGATGACCTCTTAAAATGTTTGTAATATCTGGATGTCAAAGTATCACAAGTTAAAGAAAGCAGCCCGATTTCTCGCTGTCTACACATTTCTATTGTCGAATACCTACGCATCGTGAGCCAGGCAAAACCAAATTACCGTATCATTTTTAAAAAAGTTTGAGAAACCAAATAAGTATCGAAAGTCAATCTAGTTACTCAAGTATATTAAATAAAAATTCGAATTATTACATAAAGTACTCTACGTATGCACTGACACGAGGAGTTCACGGGCTCACAAACTTTCAGTGAGGTGTAAAATCTCTTCAAAAAGTCAACGTCGAAAATTCTCTCAAATTTGTTTGCAATTTTTTTAATTTCTTTCGACTTGTTCACATAAAATGGACGACGACTGGGCAGCAGCAGTCACCGCGCAAGAAAATGTTTCGGAAAAGGTATTTGTAAGCAATTGTTTTCTGCGTTTGTTTGTATTTGCGCCTTATGCCAGACGCTCACGTGTCTATGTTTCTCTTTGACATTTCGACGATTTTTATACCCAAGTGTTTATCCTCCTATGAGATTGTTATAAGATTGAATCACCGAATAACAGAGTTGCACTTTAGTAGTGAATTAATCTAGTAAACTGGTAAAAAGTGGAAAAAAAATGCGAACTATAGCATTTCTTGTATAGTTGACCTAGGTCGGGATGTGAATGAAATATTTTCCCGATGTTAGAAGCGAAACCAGAGATAATTATGTCTTTAAAGGCTTTTAGCAGAGTGAATTAGTTGTACAGTGATAAATATTCAAAGCCAGAGATTGTCTGAAGTAATCATAGATCTTGGTTTCACTTATAACATTTTTTAGGGGGGAAATGCATTGGTTAGGTGCATTTGCTCCTGATATTAAAGCAAGCTGTAATAATTTTATTTTATTCAATCAATTTGGAATGTTTAAAAATTCCCTTGCCTTAATAACACAAGTCATGATAGCAGACTTGTAGGATGAATTTGCATTTATCATTAGGAAACCATTTGTAACTTTTAGTATATTTTTACTGATCAAACCAATGGAGCCTTGGTGTCTTATTATTTGCATGTTTACTATGTTATAGGTGAAACAGATGACCATTGGTAGTAACAGTTCATCAAAGCCTGCTCCGGCGGCACCACCTTCACCACCAAGTAATGATCAGGCACCTAGTAATGGTAAGGAGTTGCTGTGGATTTGTGTTCCAAATATTCATTCACATTATATTGAAACAATTCCTTCTGGAGGAAATTCAGCAAAGATGAATAGAATATAACAGATTCAACACTAGATTCAACCAACAAAATATACCTTCTTATATATTCTATAACAGAATATATTCTTTGTTAAACTAAATCGCTCCTGAACATGGCAAAATCACAACTCAAAATGACCTTGATAAACAACTACCATCACACATTGCATGCTTGAAAGCAAAAAGGGAAAGGATCTATTCAATGTCTTAAGTTTTGCCTATGATTAGTTGCATTGGTGACTTTTAAGAATCCTAAGTTCAAAAGTCATGTTAGACGTTTTTTTGCAGAGTAATCGTACATAAGTGAAAATGTTATTTTGTTTTTATAAGATCTACAACCTTAGGCAATATAATTGTTCTCTCAAAGTAAGTTACATACCCCTATACCTCTATGAAAATACAATTTTATCCAGCAAGTACAGATTCTGTGTTTCAACATTTGATATGTTAAGATTAGAATTTTATCTATGGCCATTAAATTGCTATCAAAATTCAACTGTCTTAAACACTAAACTTTTGAGTGCATGATTTTAAGCATAAAGTTGTCAAACTCTAGCATGGCATATCTTACCAGGACTTTGATTTTTACTACATCCTACCTCAACCTATCAGACTATTTACTGTTGTTGTTGTTTTAGTTGTGTCTGATGAGAAACCCTTATCAAAAGAAGAAAATTCATTGCTCACAAAGGTCCTCAGAGCTAAACTAGTTGAATCAACAAAAGAGGTTGAAGTTCAACGCAAAGACCCCAACTCTCCACTGTATTCAGTTAAATCATTTGAAGAATTGCCCTTGTGAGTAAATCTTCTACAGTGTATTTAAATTGCAAAATAATTGACATATGTAATTCATATCAATAGGGCAAAGCAAACAACAAGCATTAGGTCATCAGCAAAATTAGGTTTAAATCTTGCCTGAGATTGCAAAACTTAGCTAATTTTTGCTGGGAGTGTCTGGCATTAGGCGAGAGAACTGCAGTTTTGTTGACTGATTATTGTCTTTTTGTTGACAGGAAGGATGCATTGCGTCGAGGCGTTTATGGAATGGGTTTCAACTCGCCATCAAAAATACAAGAAACAGCTTTACCAATGCTCTTAGCTGATCCGTAAGTAAAGGAGAATTTTGTGTGTTGTAATTATTCTTCAGCACATGAGAAAATTATCGAGGTAAAATTGATTTTACAGTTACCAGATGCAAAAATAACGCCAACTAGACACACTTTTATGTTTTTACCACTACTGTATTATGTGTACCAGTGCAATATCTGTTGTCATGCAAGGAAGGACTAGTTGTAAAATGAACATCAATTTCTTAATTAAAACAACTCAATATCTTCTAAATATACTTTACTTCGATTGATTTCAAATTTCTGTCACACTCTTTGATCTCTATTCAATGAGTCAACTTGAATATTATGCACTGAATATGTAGTTGTAAACAGTATCTTTGTATTAAGGTCAAAAATATTTAGTTTGCTTGTTGAATAAAACGATAGGCTTGCTTTCTTTTTTTTAGCTTATCCACCGTTTAAGCTAAACGGGCTTGATACAACCGGCCCCTGTAATACAGGGACTGTATGTGATACTGTACTGTGATTGATATTTTCACAATTACTCTGGCATTCAGGGGTTATTCTAAGCTGGAGTTGCTACCACTTTTTGAAATTGTACGAAGATCTCACGAGGAGAAAATTAGTAATAATTGTATGACTATCTTAAGCTACCCATATAATAATTTCCACCAGAAATTTTCTTACCATTTCAAAAAGTGGTAGCAACTCCAACTTAGAATAACCTCTGCTGACATTTATCTCCCTAACAGAGCCAGCAACATGATTGCCCAATCACAGTCTGGGACAGGAAAAACAGCAGCGTTTGTTTTGACGATGCTGAGTCGCGTAGACCCTGCAGAGCATTTTCCACAGGTAAAACTACGAATTTTTATTGACTAAACATTCGTAAAATAACATTTGACGTTTAGTCCTTGAGGAATTGGTAATTTGTGAACTTTCAACGAACATTATTATCTTAGGTGATATGTCTTTCTCCAACCATGGAGTTGGCAAAACAAACGGGAGCCGTGGCTGAACAAATGGGAAAATATTGTCCAGAAATCAAGATCGCTTATGCTATACGAGGAAATAGACGTAAGTTCGACACTGGATTCTGTCCATTTAACGTTTGTATTTTAGTGACTATAATACGAATTTTCGTCCCAAATGTTCATGGGAGGTTGCCTTGTGAAGGTCGCCTAAATGACAACCTCTTTTATCGATTTTGCTCGTACAACTTTACTTGCTTTTTAACCAGGTTTAACTAACCTCTGCTTCATATTTAAATATCACCGGTTTGATATTTCCTGATTTTTCTTCCACAATAACATTTTGTGGGCAATCAGTAATCTTAGCATTTGTCAGTGGCATGTAACTATTAAGAGCTCAGATTGGACGAACCCGGGAGCCCCCTGATCAAAATTTACTGTACAAGAATTAGGTTGAGGATTGGTACAAGCCGATTTGAAGAGTTAGTCCCAGTCCAATTTTCCAATTTTGGCTCCGTGGTTGACGATCGCGCCAACGAAAGCAATAAAAAGAGCCTGGCACCGTTTTCAATTCTGCCTTAGCGATTGCAGTCCGGACTGAAGTCACTAAAATTCTATGTATCGCTCGTTTACATTACTCTTTGTTCGAATACTCAGATATATAAGTGCCTTTCTTTTATTAACTAACCTCAATATCTATTATCTAATCTACTTTCTAAAATCCTAAAATATATACGGTTGAAGTTATGAATTAATTATGAAAAGTTAAGAAATTATAAAAAGGTTTTCGCGATTCTCTTCTTTTGATAGATGTGAACGAGTAATTAGTTCTGGATGCTCTGGTGTATAAGAGCTCTTATTTCAACATCAGTAACTAATTCACTCGTTCACATCTATCAAAAGAAGAAAATCGCAGCAAAGATTGCGAGTGTAAACGGGCCTGTAGAGAAATATATAACATTTACAATTATTTACTGTTCTGTGAACTAGTTGCTCGTGGTGAAAAGATAACAGCTCATATTATCATTGGCACGCCTGGCACATTGTTGGACTGGATACTAAAGATTAGAGCGTTTGATCCACGAAAAATCAGAGTGTTCGTTCTTGACGAGGCTGACGTCATGATCGATACACAGGGTCACAAAGACCAATCAATTAGGATACACAAGTAAGTTAAATGACATTTTCAGACATCAGACATGGTTATCGTTTTGTAAGAGGCCGCGGGGGGGGGGGTGCGTGTGCGGTCTATATAGGGGTAGGTAATAAACATCAGCTGACTGTTTGCATTACGTTCTGTTCAGATTCTTACCAAAGGTTTGCCAAATGTTGCTTTTCTCCGCCACTTACGAGGAACAAGTGATGAAGTTTGCTGAAAGCATCATTCCCGATCCTATAATGATACGATTAAGACGGGAAGAGGAGAGTTTGGAAAACATCCGACAGTTCTATGTCATTTGTAATGGCATGGAGCAGAAGTTTGAGGCTTTGAGTAACATGTATGGTGTCATCTCTATTGGACAGTGCATTGTTTTTTGCCATGTAAGTTTAATTCCTTTTGACTTGATTTGTCTTCTGTTGAAAATAACGCATTATCTAGTGTACGTTGCAATATAACCAATGAGCAGCGTGATAGCGTCTTCAAATAACTTAGCATCAAATGTGGTATAATAACCGCCTAAAATAGACAAAAACACTTCTCGACGTTTCGACCCAAGGGCCTTCGTCAGAAGAGTGTAGACGAAAGTCACTTTCATAACGAAGGCCCTTTAGGCAGTTCTTACACATCCCACAATTAATCTGATGTTTACTCTGTCTTGTGCTATATAACACAAAAACACTATAAGCAACAGTGTTCGGGTCCCCCAGCGGCAGTGATCTCTATGTGAACCGGAACGATAACTCGGTCTCCATCTTTGAAGCGGAATTGAGGGCCAGTGGCAGTCAATTTCTTTTATTTTGGTTCTTAATTCGGCTTTAAAATGGTCGAATAGTTAATGATTAACCATCAGACAATTTGATGAAATTCGAAATGAAAAAAACTGAAGATTTGGGTTATCAAGTGTGTTCCGACACCCAACTGTTGAGTTTGTAAATGATGTTATATTCGGAGTTTGTTTCGTTTTATACGTTGTCTTGTACATGTAACTGGCTCCAAAATGTTTAGCTGGTTCATAGTTTGCCAGTGCATAAATATCTATATGTACTGTGTTAGAAAAAATTGGATTAAATATCCTTTAATTCGATGTTTTTTTCCAGACGAGAAAGGCTGCCTCGTGGCTGAGTGAGAAGATGGCTGCAGAAGGTCACTCTGTCGCACTGCTTTCTGGCGAGATTACTGTCGAACAAAGAATAGCTGTGCTGAATCGCTTTCGCGCTGGTAAAGAGAAGCTCCTTATCACAACGAATGTATGCGCAAGAGGAATTGACATCGAGCAAGTTTCCGTCGTTGTAAACTTTGACCTGCCTGTGGATAAAATTGGCGCGCCAGATTACGAGACGTACCTGCACAGAATTGGGCGAACCGGGCGTTTCGGTCGCTATGGACTTGCTGTAAATTTCGTGAACGAGGGTCGTGATTTGCCGACGTTAAAGAATATCGAAAAACATTTTGGGCGACCTATTGAGGAACTGAACACTAACGACGTAGATGCCTTAGAGAAATTGAACGAGTAATTTAATACCAAAAGGATGGGATTCATAGGAAAGATACATATTTCTCCAGTCGGAGTAGAAATCATCATTTAAAAAGACAATGTTCGTTGGAAAATTGGTTATGTTGTTGTTAATATAAATATTTTAAACATTCGTAAAAATTTTAACACTCAGCAGTTGAGTTTAGTTAAACAACGTTTTTTAAAGCGATTCATACGTGGTCCCGACTTTACTTTTGACTTTAATTATTTCACCATTCCTTCTTTTCAAACTCTGCAGATACCGTGAAAATTTTTTTAAAATCCAGCCCTTACTCAGAATGCTACTACTCGTATTAATTAGGGCTATGGTTAAAGTACATCCAAGTTTCGCGCACAACCTCCAGGGTCCAGCGTGAATCGTGTTGTGACCTCCCAGCTGCGTGTGTTTGTATGCGTGTTCCTCGCGAGAATCTCGGAGGCAGTGAAGGTAGCCATAACTGGCCATAACTTAAATAGTAGCAAAATAAACACTATGATGAGTTGAGAATTGTGCTTGATGCTTTAGTGTTGAAATTTATTTTAGTGTGGGCTTTATATTAAAACAAAAATTCCATCTCAATTTAATGAAACATTGCGAATATGGATGTAGGTCCATTGGATGAGAGGGCACTGTATGGAGCGACTGTGTAATCTGTGTAAAAGTGTTAGTGCACAAAGAACTTTGTGATTTGATGACAACAGCAGGTAAGTTTTCTACTTTAAACTCTTTTCAGCGTATAACGAGTACTCTTTTTGAAACAAGACAAACGTATTTAGTCAATTCCTGTAATTTTGACTTTGTTTACCGTGTCTGCCCGCGTTCCAGGACTGAGTACGAATTACCAGTTTCCCCGCCGAAGCTCGCGTTTCCTCGCTTTTAAGTAATATTCTGTATTCAGCCAAAATAAGATTCGGTATCAGTGTGAGCAGAAAAGTTTTAATATATATTTATATATAACATATTGGAACAACCTTAGGACAACTTACTGACATCGACAGTCTTCTGGCAGTCATCCTGCAAATCCTCTATGTTTCTGCATAATTTTGGTATAGCAATTGCCTGATTCTACTTTTTGAAATAAACTTTTGGGCGTTTTGATATTCAAAGAGCCTTTGCCTTGCATGCGTAAGATGTCGACTATAAATATTTCACCTTGAAAGACCTTGTTTATATTTTATACACCCACGATCATATAGTTGCCATCTACATTTTCGCACTAATATCTACATTGTTTGCCAACTTTTCTTACCAATCTAACGAAGATATATAGTTAGTATTGATGATGATGATCAAATAGATTCATTGATCATGATCAAATTGATTTATTATGATCAAATTGCACTGATAAAGTGGTTTACCTACAGGCTACAAGCTAATTTACTTATTTTCCCATAAGTGTCCACTACCTTATACCACAGTTAATACATGGTTTGGAGACGAAATAAAAGCACAATACAACTCATTAACTATGTTATTGTCCAGGTTTATGCAAAAAATGGTTCCTTTCTCGTCACGTGTCTATTGTATTTTAGACAAATTCGCCAATGGCATTCATCTTGCTAAGCTTCTCAACCTTGACTTGAAAAATATGTTAATTATAAGATTGCTATTTGTTTATCTGTGCAAAATACAATAGACATGTGATGCGAAAGGAACAATTTTTTTGCATAAATCTACCTCAACATAGTTAATGAGTTGTACTGTAGTTTTATGTTGTCTCCAAACCATGTATATTCTATTAACTGTGCTTATACAAACCAGGTTGTCGATTATTATTGGTGTACCCAGCACATCATGACATTAGCTCGCTACAGTCGTCTCCATGGTAACCGTTCGGACATTCGCAGGTGAATCGTTTCCAGGCCTGATCAAGGGAGTTCATTGGTTTACAGAATCTGTTCTTCGGACAGATGCCTGATACTTCACAACAGTTGTTTCTCATGTAACAACCTAATCCTGAACATTGGCCTTCCAGATTCTAGAAGTATAAGGAATAATAAATTCTGCCATTAGTATTGCTTATGCGGGAAAACGTTCAAAACGCAAAATCTTTACGGCGTACCACTCAAAGTTGATTTATTACAGGCGAAAAACTTTAATTAGATCTAGCAAAACCCTCGACTTCGTCTTGATTGACCTTGCCTTCGGTGACGAATAATTGTTAATTGTTACCATACCTGTTTCGATGTTTCGATCAAATTTCGCATCTCGTACGTAACATAGAGGCAGTCATCTTGGTCATGAAGCAATGAACTGTTTTCTTCCTTGTGACTTGAACACAGTTGACATTTTGTATTTTGGCAAATTTGAAACGACTGGCATCGACAGTCCTCTAGACAGTGTTCCAGACAATCTGCTATGTTTCCATCTTTTATCACGAACGTTTCAATGAGACAGGATTCGTCAAACGCCTTGTTATTTTCGGCCTTCATGGTGAATTGTGGTTGACTGTTGTGCACAGACGCGTTAGTGTAGATCAGTTCCGCCAGCATGACGGCGATAAAACTGAGAAGAACAAACGTGAAGTTTGAACATTCTAAAGAGCTATTATTTACGCTATTTATATTATAGAGTAAATCAGTTATGATTTTTGTTACTTCACTCGATGCATGTAAATTGTAGAGGTTTAAAGGGTCTTAATTTCGAGTGGAATTATACACACTTCAAATTCAAGCCAGGAACAATTGAGAAAAATGAGTCAACTATAGGTCCTCCGGCAGGAAGGTATTCCGACAACTCTGATTTCCTAAAGTTGAAGCTGTTGTTCGACCAGGAAATAATAATATTCTGTGATGATGTGACCCTACCTGAAAAGAATCACGTTCATCTTTGTCTGTAACTTTCGGTTTTCTATTTGTGACGATGTTGCTGAATCGTATATCTTCAGATGAAAGATGTGTCAGTATACCTTTTGACATCTTCAATAGACAGGGCACCTGCTAATCATTGTTCAACTTGTTCCATGAAGGACAAATAATACGGAAATTGTATGTAAATTTTAATGATAGTTCATACTGTACAACTTTACAAACTTATACAATTTACTTATTATAAAACGATTTAATTTATTTATAAAACGCCAGTTTTTTTAGCTATCAGCGTAAGAATAGTTTTTATGCATTTCTATATTGGTTCTATACATGCTAAATGATAATATATCGATACTGGCCATGCAGTATATATACTTGTATTATTATAGCCTTGCTACTTGCATGCTAACTATATGTTGATTAGATTCAAACTATACTATATTATGTGTGGCTCATGTGCATCGGTCCTGCTCCTAGCATTCGGTAGGCCACTCGATTTAGGGGCTGTTTACATGAGCCCGGTTAACCGAGATTCAACGAAGCGTGAGAAGACTTTGAGGTATTGAAATAAGTCTTTATGACACAAAACAAGCACATGCTATTGTTATGGTGATTATACGACTGTCAGGATCATGTTATCTGCTCATTTCAATACTTCAAAATCATCTCACGCTTTGTTTATGGTTCCGCTTTGCCAAACCACAGCTGAGTCGTGGAGTTTTTGTACCGTACACAAGAATGTATTTTCGTATAATAGCCTGGATAGAACCATGCCGACTTGAATGGCATTGACGTACAATTATTATGCCCATAGATGTCAACATGCAAAGCCCCATTCTGATGAAGACGTATTTCAAACCGATTCAAATTATTTTCGCCACTGATCTTACCACGAGGCGAAAATACACGTAAATCAAAATAATCGTGCCAAATTCTATCATTATATTTCCATGGTACTGAAATTTCAAGAAAATCCGAATTAGTGATGTTATAGTGTTTCTCGTACTCGCACGTGAACAGGAAAGAAGTTAAATTTCGTTTTATATATTTCATTCTATCTTTCCTAAGTCGGTAGCCGCTCCATGTTAACGCGTTTTCGTTAAAAGGAAAATCTTTAAATAAAGGACGTCGGAACTTAAAAGAATTTTCGTAACTGTAAGATTGCACCAGAGTCCAAGCACCGTACGAATCGAAATGACAGTATACTTCATAAACTTTGCCTTCAGAATCAACTACTTTGTACAAACCATGCTGTCGATGACCATGAGCGTACCCAGCACATGACGTGATCGATGTGTTGCAGTTGTTTCCATAGTAACCGTCCGGACATTTGCAGATGAAACGTTTCCAGGGCTTATCGAGCGAGGTCACCGTCTGACATGTTTGGTTCTCAGGACAGATACCTGGTACTTGACAACAGTTGTACTTCATGTAACAACTAATGCCTGAACATTGATCGTTGAAATTCTGAGAAGAGAAAGTATCCTGATTTAACTATCCGTTCTGGGCTGAGGAATAAATATTTAGCTGACAGTGGCGAATTTTGATCAAGCTAGTGTATTTAGAAATTTTTTTAAAATTAATATACATTTAAAAGTAGGAGCATAGGTTTTGACCAAAATTTAAGAAGCCTTAATTATCATACCTGATACATTTCCATGGATTTTCGCATCTCGTACGTAACGTAGACGCAGCCATCTTGGTCATGAAGCAACGAACTGTTTTCCTGCTTGTGACTTGAACAGAGTTGACATTCTGCATTTTGGCAAATTTGAAACGACTGACATCGACAGTTCTCTAGGCAGTGTTCCAGACAATCTGCTATGTTTCCATCTTTTATCGCGAACGTTTCAATGAGACAAGATGCGTCAAACGCTTTGTTACTGTCAGCCATTATGGTGAACTGAAGTTGACTGTTGAACACAGATGCCTTTGTGTCAGCAATCATGGCGATGATTAAAAGCCTGTAAAAGAAAAACAGAACTGGTATAAACAATGTTGCATCGCCTGAATGAACTTTGCTCACAGTCATTGCTCTTAACAAGTTGTAGGAACTTTTAATGTTTTGCGTATATATAGCATGTCGCTGCAAATTGAATACAACCATTTTCGTGGAATATGGAGTACATCTTTATTGTTTATTTCTGCCTTACCAGGAATAATATGGACGTTTTCAGTTGTGTAGCACGAAGTTATTTTTAGGTATTGCAGAATTTGTCGAAATTACATTAAAGTAGAAGTCCGCACTTCAGTAAACAAAAGGTTAATTTTAAACTTTGATATTTTTTAAAAGACGATTACTGTGTGAATATCTAACACTATTTACGTTCGCTATGCAGCCTATGCTTCCAAAAATGAATAAAAAACAAGGGTTTTTGTTGAGAAAAATTTGAAACATGCGAA